TACTATTGTGGAGCTGTCTATCTCTCTTTTCAGTGCTGTTAGTTTGTTTTATGTATTTTGGAGCCCTGTCGTTGGGTGTGTAAATATTTATTATAGTTTGTCCTCCTGTTGTTTTGACCCTTTAATCATTATATAGTGTCCTTCTTTATCCTTTGTGGTGGATTTTACTTTAAAGTCTATTTTGTCAGAGATTAATATTGGCACTCCTGCTCTTTTTTTAGTGTTGGTTGCTTGATATATTTTTTTCCATCCTTTGAGTTTTAGTTTGTTTGTGTCTTTAAGTCTAAGATGTGTCTCTTGTAGGCACCATGTAGACAGATCGTGTTTTATTATCCAAACTGCCACTTTCTGTCTCTTAATTGGTGCATATAGTCCGTTTACATTCAGTATAATTATTGATAGATACGAATTTAGTGCTTCATTTTGATATCTTTTTTTGTGTGTTGTTGACAGTTTCTTTGTTCCACTTAATTTTCTGTGCTGAGTCGTTTTTCTTTATGTATTTTCTTTTCATCTGTTTTTCACTGTTATTGATTTTGTGTTTGCTGAGTCTTTATATTTTTCTAGGTTTTTATTTTGACTTGTAGGATTGTAAGTTTCCTTTTGTGATTACCTTAATATTTACCCCTATTTTTCTAAGGTTATACCAGTCTTTTATTTCTTTGTATAGGCTTGGCTTCCTCTCTATTTGAAAGATCTATGTCTGCATTTTTTTAAGTCCCTCTTTTTTGTTTTAATGTCATCTTTTACATATTGACATCTGTTTCCCTATTTTCAGTGTTTTAGCTTTGATTTATTTTTGTGACTTCCCTATCTGGGTTGATATCTGTTTGCTCTGTCCTGTGTTCTAGTCTTGGGTTGTTATCTGATGTTACTGATTTTGTAACCCCGGAGGACTCCCTTTAGTATTTCTTGTAATTTTGGTTTGGTTTTTGCAAATTCCCTAAACTTCTGTTTATCTGGAAATACCCTAATTTTCGCCATCATATTTGGGAGACAGTTTTGCTGGATATGTAATTCTTGGCTGGCAGTATTTTTCCTTCAAGACTTTATATATGTCATCCCATTGCCTTCTTGCCTGTATGGTTTCTGCTGCGTAGTCCAAGCTTACTCTTATTGACTCTCCTTTGTAGATGACTTTTCGTTCATCCCTAGCCGCTCTTAAAATTCTCTCTTTATCTTTGGTTTTGGCAAGTTTGATTATAATATGTCTTGGTGATTTTCTTTTGGGATCTACCTTATGTGGGGTTCGATGAGCATCTTGGATAGATGTCATCTTTCACAATATCAGGGAAATTTGCTGTTAACAAATCTTCAACAATTCTCTCTGTATTTTCTGTTATCCCCTTGCCCTGTTCTGGTACGCCAATCACTTGTAGGTTATTCCTCTGAATAGAGTCCCACATTATTCTTAGGGTTCTTCATTTTTTTAAATCCTTTTATCTGATTTTTCCTCAAATAGTTTGGTGTCAAGTGCTTTATCTTCGATCTCCCTCATTCTGACTTCCATTGCCTCCATTCTGCGTGTGTGACTTCTGTTGAGTTGTCTAATTCTGAAATTTTATTGTTTATGTTTTGGATTTCTGATTGCTGTCTCTCTATGGATTCTTGCAGCCTGTTAAATTTGTCTTTATGCTCTTCTCTAATCTTTTAATTTTGTCTATTGCGTGTTCTGCGTTTTGCTTAATTTCCTTCCTAATCTCTTAAAGAGTTCTGTATGTTAATCTTTTGTATGCTGCCTCCGGTAATTCTAAGAAATTTTCCTCTTCTGGAAAATTTCTAGCTTCTTATTTTGGGAAGTTGCTGAAGCCATCATGGACTGCCTCTTTATGTGATTTAATATTGACTGTTGTCTCTGAGCCATGAATAAGTTATTACATTTATTTATTTTATGTTTGCTTACAGTGTCCTAGATTCTTGGTTTTTTTTTATATTCCCAAATAGGCTGCTTGTGCAAGCTAGTTTGCTTATTGGCACCTTTGAAGCTCTTATGTCCTGTCAGCAGGTGGTTAGATTTGTTACTAGATATGTGAGCCCAGGAGTCCGCCCACTCCTCCTGTATGGATTCAGCTTAGGTGCCCAGGTAGATAGCCACCAAGTGTGTGGTATAGGCTCTCACCTACAGTACTAGACAGGCATGGATGTTTTGTGTAGGCAGAGGCATCTGGCTGCAGCAGGGGGAGATACTCTGAGCAAAGCAGGGGGCTGACGGCTGCCCCGGAGTGTCCAGGAGGAAGGTGTGTCCCTGTTCCCTAGAGCGTGTAGGTGGGTGGGTTTTGCAGTAGAAGTATGAGCACCCAGTGCTTTTGGCTGTAAGGACTGTGTGGCACTTCTTATTCTTGGCCCCCTCGCATGTGGCTAGGTGGCATGGGCGGAGCCACCAGTCCTCAGGCTCCTGATGTGGGTAGATGAAGACCCTGCTTAGTGAGCAGAGCAGTGTCTAATGTCACAAACCTGCCACTTCTCAGCTGAAACAGTTGAAGTTAGACTTCAGGTTTATACCCTGTTGTACTGTGGTAATGAGGGCCTACGCTGTTGAGATGGGCCCACACAAGTCTGTGCAGGGGAAAGGCACTCAGCGTCCGTGGATCCCTTATGCCTGTGCCTGGCAAAGGAGCTGTGCGTACCCTGAGTTCCCTGGCCTAGGGGAGCTGGCAGTTTATTTTTTCCCCGTTTGTCAATTTGTTAACCCTCTAAGGCCAGGAGAATGGCTCAGGGCATGTGATGAATCCTACTACAGGCCCAGGGGATTCAGCAGTTGCTGAAGCTGGTCCGGGACCCGGTCCAGGACCCAGGGAGCAAGGAAGTAAATGGGAGAGATGTTTTTCCCTAAGGGGGGTTTTTTTGATCTGCGTGGTAGGCCGTACGCAGGTACTTATCTTTTGCTGATTGAGGGCTGCTTTTCACTGGTGCTGGGTGGCCAATTAGACTTTATGCTGCTGGGTCTCTCCCGGTGCAGAATATGCATCCTGAGCGCTGCTGCTTGCCTGCCTCACCGCTCACCCATGAGCTAATCAGGCCTGAAGGGCTCAGGCTCTAGCTGGGTCAGGTCTGGCAACTCCTCGCTGCTTCGGAACCATCTCTCCCCTCTGCTGCCACTCAGTCTGGTTCATCAACTTTGCCTTTGATGTTCAGGGCTACTAGATTGTCATATATAATCGATTCACTTGTTTTTTCGGGTCTTTGTTGTTAGAGGGTGCACTAGAAGCATCTGACTACTCTGACATCCTCCCCTGCCCCCTGGTTGTTAAGGATTCTTAAAGCATCATTAGGAAGATTGGTAATTTATGTAGAGAAATAATGGCTTACTATCTGTGTGTTTTCCTTCTGTGTTTCTAGTGCTTACCTGGACTTTTGTCTTTCTCAACAGCAACAATGGTGTGGCTGGTGAATATGGCAGAAGGAGACCCGGAAGCCCAAAGGAGAGTATCCAAAAGCTCAAATTATAATGCACAAAGTAGGTGGTTTTTATTTGATAATTTCCTGGTTGTTTAGGGTCATTGTCATCTTACAGGTTTAACGATGGGTTGTGAAGGAGTGATTTTAACTTCTTTTTTTAGTCATGGACTCCCCTGAGAGTCTTCTGAAAGCTATCGTGATAGAAAGTAGATACACATAAATATTTAAAGAGTTCAGGCACCCAAAACCCAACAATACAGCCCAGGCCCCTAGCATTTCTGCCATTAAATGCATAATACCAGTACGGAAAGGTTCAAGTTGAAAGTATAATTTAAAAAAAAAAAAAAAAAAAAAAAAGCTCTATCCACAAACCTGTAAAAATGAGAACCTCTTGTCTAACATGGCCAGAGTAATGTTAATGTAATTTGATTTGAGATGTGGTAATGTTTATAACTGAAAAATTGGTGGTTCAAACCCACCCAGTGGCTCCTCAGGAGGAAGACCTGGCAGTCTGCTCCCATAAAGATTATGGCCTGAAAAGCACTACGGCCATTCTACTTTGTCACATGGGGTCAGTATGAGCCATAATTGACTCGATAGCATCTAGCAACAACTATGTTTATACTAAACTGATCACTAAGCAGATACGATTTTCTGAAGAAAGAAAATGATGATGACTTAGAATGGAAGATTGAAAGACGTACTTATGCATACTAAAGAAGATACTAAGGAGAACATAAGTGAGGAGTTATTATTAAAAAGAGTTAAGGAACAATAGCACAATATAAAGAGTAAAGAAGAATGGAAACTTTAAAAAGAAAAAGGGCTAACCTTATGAGGAAGGTGAAAAGCAGAGTAGGGATTGAGTGAGAGGAGAAAATATAGGCCTTAATTGAGTTGCTGTTTGTCAGGAGAGGAAGAGTTTAGTTTTCATAGAGCTAAGTTGGCATTTGGGTAATTGCAAGGAGGGCAGTTTGAACTGGGAATTCATGTTTGGGGCCCAGACATGTCCGGATATTAGGCTGCATTCTGTACTGAGCAAGGCAGCAGAACAAGGTATCATTAGACACCTTGGAAAAGGAAGCAGGAAATAAACTGGAAACAGTTACTACAAGTGTGCTTATTGTATTAACCCATTGTTAACCCAAAGAGGGTTGTATCCTTTCACCATACTTACTCAGTCTGTATACTGAGCAAATAATCTGAGAAGCTGGACTATATGAGGAAGAACGGGGCATCAGGATTGCAGGAAGACTCATTAACAACCTGCCATTATGCAGATGCACAACCTTGCTTACTGAAAGTGAAGTGAACTTGAAGCACTTACTGATGAAGATCGAAGACTACAGCCTTCAGTGTAGATTACACCTCAACATAAAGAAAACAAAAATCCTCACAACTGGCCCAATAAGCAACATCATAATAAACAGAGAAAAGATTGAAGTTGTCAGGGATTTCATTTTACTTGGATCCACAATCAGCACCTGTGGAAGCAGTGGTCAGGAAATCAAATGACGCATTGCATTGCACAAATCTGCTGCAAAAGATCTCTTTAAAGTGTTAAAAAGCAAAGATGTCGCCTTGAAGACTTAAGGTGCACCTGACCCAAGCCATGGTGTTTTCAGTCACCTCACATGCATGTGAAAGCTGAACAATGAATAAGGAAGACTGAAGAAGAATCGATGCCTTTGAATTATGGTGTTGGTGAAGAGTATTGAATATTCCATGGACTGCCAAAAGAACGAACAAATCTATCTTGGAAGAAATACGGCCAGAATGTTCCCTTAGAAGCAAGGATGGCGAGACTTCATCTCACATACTTTGAACATGTTATCAGGCAGGACTAGTCCCTGGAGAAGGACATCATGCTTAGTAAAGTAGAGAGTCATCGAAAAAGAGGAAGACCCTCAATGGATGGATTGACACATTGGCTGCAACAGTAGGCTCAGGGATAACAATGATTGTGAGGATGGTGCAGGATGGGCAGTGTTCAGTTCTGTTGTACATAGGGTTGCTGTGAATCGGAACTGACTCAGCAACACCTAACAACAAACAACAACAAGCTTTCCTGTGAGTATATATGTACATATATATGTGAGTATGAATGTATATTTGGTACATTGAGATTTTATTCATTTTACAAATGTTGGTTGAGGACCTATGTGCCACATATTCTGCTAAGCACTGGGGATATAGCAGGAGCCCTGGTGGTGCAGTGGTTAAGCACTAGGCTGCTAACTGAAAGGTCAGCGGTTAGAAAGATGTGGCAGCCTGCTTTTGTAAAGATTACAGCCTTGGAAACCCCATGGGGAAGTTCTACTCTGTCCTGTAGGGTCGCTGTGAGTTGGAATTGACTTGATGGCAATGGGTTTGGTGTTTTTTTCTCTCGGGAGCGGAGGGATATCGCACTGAACAATATATCTCCATCCTTTGTGGAGCTTATAACCTATGTTAGAAGACAGACGTTTAACAAATAATTCAAACAATTGTGATAAGTGCTATAAAATAGAAGTATACATTGCTATGAAAGTTTTTAAAAGGAGAGTTCATTCAGTCTGGAAAATCTTCAAGGAGGGCTTCCGTGAGGTAGTGACAACAAGAGTTGGCCAGGTAAAGAGTGGAAGAAGAGCCTTCAGAAGAGGAACAAATGGGTAAGAGCCCTGAAGTGAGAAGGAGCTGGGTGAACTGCAGTGTTCCTCAGGAGGAGAGCTGTTGGCATTTTGAGTGGGACAGGTCTTCATTGCATGAATATTTAGCATCCCTAATTCCTCACCCATTGAATACTAATAGTGGCTCTGAGGCATTGCAGTAACCAAAAACTACCCCCATCCTAATCATTTCCAAACACTCCGAGAGGGAGATGCCACCCCCAGTTAAGAACTCCTGTGTTAGAGGAACAACAAGCTGGATTGGAACAAAAGCGCGTAGGGCTCCAAATGGGATGTCTGTGCAGGCAAAAAAATAATAGAACTGAGAGGTTATCTGATGCACTTGAACTCTGAACTCTATGTCAGAGAGTTTGAGGACAGATTGTTCATAGGTCATACATAGAAATTTGAGCAAGGAAAAAAATGAGGCAATTTTTAGGGAAAACAAAAAGCTGTACAAAAAAAATGTTTATTATTGTGCATCCTGGCTGAAACAAAGTAGTTTAGTCATGAGTGCTATTTGCATGTTGATAAAGTAAAAGCTGAATATTAATAAAAAATTGTGACATTTGGGAACATGGGGAGAATTAAATTTGTGTAAGAGTATGAGAGCTGATGCTTCATCTTCCCTGTAGGAAATGAATACATACATACCTAAACTCAAAGCATCAGATTATAGCACTATGAGCACGCAAGTTACAACTTAAGTATGGCGGTAATTACCAAAAGAAACAGCTGAAAGAGTTGAAAGTGCGAGTGAGGATCAGGAGTGAGGACAGTGAGGCAGTGTAAGGACTGCCGTTTTTATTTATAAACCTCATACTTACATGATTTTGTAAACTCTGCACCAGGGAAGGATTCAGATGATATGGGGCCTGATGCTTATAAAATTTGGAGGGCTACCTCTTTAAGAAAAACAATACAAAATTATAAATTTGAAATTGCTAGGGCCCATTCCAGAAGAAGTCCATGCAAAGGCGGGCACGAAGTGTAAGCTTTATTAGTTTAGAATGGTAAATCTACCTCTGCTATGAGCATGTATTACTTTTATAAAAAACAAAGGAAGGAAAAAGTGTTATGAACTTCACTTGTGTATTTTAATTATTTTTAATATACGGAAGGTTATTAAGACTATCATATATGCTCATAATATTGTGACCAAGTGGCCATTAAATTGGATTGACTGTCATTAAAGAGGAAAGACTGGCCCATAAGAAAACTCACTCCCACCTTACCCATCCCTCTCATAATGAATCTACGTTGATAACTTAGTCACCAAAGCCAGTGGTGAGTGCTATCAGTTAGGAAATTCTGCAGCTGTAAAGAACAGAAAAAAACCGATTCAGTGCCTTTAACAAAGGAATGTATTCTCTCACATGACAAAAAGTCCTAAGGTGTAGGACCTTCTAGGATTGGTTCGTTTTGTGGCTTAATGATGTTATCAAGGGCCCAGGTTCTTTCCATCTTCCTATTCTGCCTGCCTTAGCATACAAGGTTGGTCCTTAGCCCACCACCACTCCTCATGATCACAAGGTGACAACTGCGGTTCCGGGCATCATATCCAGATAAGACAACATCCAGAAGAAAGGGGGCTGTTTGTTTCTTCTTTCAGTCTAGCTTAAAGAGTGAACGTTTTCCCCAAAAACTCTGAGCAGACTTTCTTTCACCATTCATTGGCTAGTAGAACCCTGCAGCCCTAGATCTAAGACATGCTCAGCTTAGATGTGTCAGGATTTACTGCTAGAAGAATAGAAACCCAAACAAAATCAGGGCTCTGCCCTTGGGGAGTAAGGGGAGAATGAATGTTGGGTAAGCAACCAACAGATACTGTTAGAGCCCATGATTAGTAGTTTTAAGAGCCAGCTAACCTGAAATAGCCAGTTAGTTATGGCCTCCATGTAATTTTCTTAAAGGTATTAAGAAATAGTTCTGAATGTTGTTGTTAGGCGCCGTCAAGTCATTTCCGACTCGTAGCGACCTCAGGTATAACAGAACGAAACACTGCCCAGTCCTGCACCATTCTCACAATTGTTGCTATGCTTGAGCCCATTGTTATAGCCACTGTGTTAGTTCATCTTGTTGAGGGTCTTCCTGTTTTTCACTGACCCTCTACTTTACCAAGCATGATGTCCATCTCCAGGGACTGGTCCCTCCTGATAGCATGCCCAAAGTATGTGAGATGAAGTCTTGTCATCCTTCTTTTCTGAGGAGCATTCTTCAAAGACAGATTTGTTCATTCTTTTGGCAGTCTATGGTATATTCAGTATTCTTCGCCAGCACCAAAACTCAAAGGTGTCAGTTCTTCGGTCTTCCTTATTCATTGTCCAGCTTTCGCGTGTATATGAGGCTATTGAAAACACCATAACTTGGGTCAGGCACACCTTAGTTCTCACAGTGACATCTTTGCTTTTTAACACTTTAAGGAGGTCTTTTGCAGCAGATCTGCCAGTGCAGTACACGTCATCTGGTTTCTTGACTTCCATGGGTGTTGATTGTGGATCTAAGTAAAGTGAAATCCTTGACAACTTCAGTATTTTCTCTGTTTATCATGATGTTGCTTATTGGTCCGGTTGTGAGGACTTTTGTTTTCTTTATGTTGAGATGCAATCCATACTGAAGGCTTTGGTCTTTGATCTTCATCAGTAAGCGCTTCAAGTCCTCTTCATTTTGAGTAAGCAAGGTTGTGTCATCTGCATAACGCAGGTTGTTAATGAGTCTCCCTGCAATCCTGATGCCCCGTTCTTCTTCATATAGTCCAGCCTCTCAGATTATTTGCTCAGCACTTCTAAATATTAGGGCTGTAATTTCTGTTTTCTCTTGAAGGCACAGAAAATGTGGCACAAAACTCTGTTGCAGCAAATGATGATGGAGGCTTCAGTGAAGAATGGGAAGCCCAGAGGGACAGCCATCTGGGCCCTCATCGTTCTACACCTGAATCACGAGCTGCTGCACAGGAACTTTCCAGCAACATCCAACCTAGTGAGGATCCAGAGGAAAGTATGTACATTTCTCTGCATTGAATAGTCCTGAATTCCTTTAGATAGCTACGTTATCAACCTCTGCAAGTATTAAGTGAATTGAGAGTGTTGCAGTCTATTTCTAAATAACAGTATAACTTTTAGTGGAATATACATTTGCTAGTAGTTGGTGCTTTTCTCATAGTTCAGTTTGTCGATGGGCCTATTTCTACTGCTCAGATTTTTGAAATTGGCCCTTTGTAAGCCTGCTGTCTCTTTTTTTTTTAAGTAAAAGAGTTTTTTGAAGTTTTTATTAAGACTTCATGGCTGTAATCTATTTGTGTAAAAAGTTTCGTTAATACATTTCTTGCTGTACAAAGATCTGTAGATTTACATGTGTCAGCCTTTTATAATTGTTATTCCCTTTGTTGGTGAGCACTGTATCTTCTAAAGAAAATCAGAGTGGTTTCGAATATGGGCAAAAATTCAGGTATTTCCTCAGTGTCTAAGATGTGTTGTCACTTGATAGATTTCGGTTAGCGCTTGAGGCCTCTTAGGAACATTACCAGCCAGTAGATCCCCGTGGCTAGGGCTCAGTCATCGCTTCAGTTAGTCTGAGAGATGTGGTTTCTTAAGAGATTAGCACATTTTCCAACTAACTTATCCTTACTTTTTTCCCACATAAATGAAGCTCTTGATTAAAATATTACAGCAGAAATATTAATAGTTTTTAAAGAAGCAAGCACTTAGATTCCTTAGCTTCGGTAATCACTAATCGTTGTGTATTTATGATCCTGACTTTATCCTTCAGCTTGAGCAGAACACTTCTTACAGCTCACCCTGACTGACTCCTTTAATTGGGTCACAACTTTCCCAGGACACATTCATGATTTTGGTGCTTGGCTGAGTTTTCCAGATGTCCGAGCCCAGCTAGCTGCATCCTGTGACTTTCACACTTCTAGGCAGCTACACAGTCGGAATCGACTTAGCGGCAGTGGGTTTGGATAGCCAGGCTTAACTTGCCTTATCTGACGTGTTCTCTGTCCACAAAGTTACTGTCATAACTAGGTTCCCCCTTCTGTTCCTCTCTATTCTCAAAGGTGCCTGGAGCAAAAGAAAGAAATAATAAAGCTGCTGAGCATAGCAGCAGCATGATTCTTTCATGACTATATTTTTCAGTTTGTGGACCCCCTCACCTGATCAGGAGCCCTGATGGCATAGAGGTTAAGAGCTTGGATGCTAACCAAAAGGTCAGCAGTTTGAACCCACCAGCCGCTCCTTGGAAACCCTATGGGGCAGTTCTACTCTGTCCTACAGGGTCACTGAGTTGGAATCGGCTCCATGGCAGTGGGGTTTTTTTTGTTTGTTTGTTTCTCCTGATCATCTCTGTATCCCCCTCACTGCCAGCTTTTTTTTTCCCCAAAGGAAACCCCAAGCATTTACCCTCCTAACTTGAAATCAATATTTTCCTTATCTGAGCCAGTATAAACTTATAATTGACATTCTTTCATCCTATCAGTACTCGTATAACCATCTCTCATTGCTGTAATGTTCTAAACCAGACTTATGATTACTTACAAAAAGGCACACTTTACACCCAAATTTGGTTTCTAAAAGGCCCGTATGTTTTTCAAAACAACCATTTAGAAGAATCAACATTTAATCAGAAAACTTTTAGAAATGTAAAACGTTTTTATTCACTGTGAAGGCAGCTGATCTGCTAGCAGATTTTAAAATGAACTTCCAGAAGACAGCATGCCAATAACAGACTCATCCTAAGTGTGCTATTGTAGACTTAAAGTTTAGCAGAGTAGTAAAATTAGCCTCTTGTTTCCAGGAGTGGAAATTTGACTTGGAGACTCTTTTTCTGTAACTTCAAGGGACAGGGAAGGAGATAAATTTTGCTAGTTTCTTCAAATGGAGGAAGGAATTTTAGTAGTAGAAAGGTAACATAATAAATTTTAATCTGTTTTTAATGTTTCTGTTTATTGAAAAGATAACAGGAAATATTCATTATTATATTGTGTGATTATATTATTATATTTACATTAGGCACGTGCTGTGCTGCTAGAAGCCCTTCAGAGAAATCTTAACGATTAAAGTGAATATTTTTCATCATCTATTGTCTTTACCAGATCTCATGCATGGTGAATCAGCAAATGCCCCTCTTAATATTAATGAACGCTGCAATTGCCCAAAATAATTTTTCAGAATTGGCAAAAAAAAAGTCAGTAGAAGGTCTAGACTACCATTAGCAGTGAAATACTAGCAGCAAGTTTCAGCATTAAGACTTAGCAGTAGACCGTTATTAAGTCGTTAGTTCTGACTTAAGCACTTTCCACTGCTATAATCTTAGTTGTTAGGCTATGGCATATTTTAACTGAATAAATGAAAAGGAGCTGTTTAAAGAAAACAAATTTCTAAGCAACATGATTTTTCTTAGTTTTTATATGCTGATCCGGTCTGTTCTGGTTATAGGTAAATGAAACTTGTTAACTGTCTAAAGAAAAAAAGTAATGGTTACTTCTTTGTCTGTTTCCTTACTCTATTTTAATTTTGCTAATAAAATATATTTATATTTTTCTATTACAGTGAATGATGTAAAGTATAACTATAGCATTTGCTGTGATATTACTAATATTTAAACAAATGTAAAAGTAAAATCTTAGGCCACAATTTTAAGCTTGATTCAATACATTATTTTGTTTTTTAACAGCTTTATTGGGATATAATTCACATCATACAGTTCACGCATTTAAAGTGGTAGCTTTAGTATATTTACAGAATTGTGCAACCATCACCACAGTCAATTTTAGAATATTTTTATTTCCCCAAAAACAAACCCTGCACCCCTTATCTGTCACCTCCAGTAACTCTAAATCCCTGAGCCATAGACATCCTTTCTGTCTGTATTGATTTGCCTATTCTGGACATTTTATATAAATAGAACCATATAGTGTGTGGTCCTTTGCGGTCAGCTTCTTCCACTTTGCATGATGTTTCAAAGGTCTATACATGTTGTAGCATGTATCAGTATTTCATTTCTTTTCATTGCCAAATAATGTTCCGTTGTATGGATATACCACATTTAATTTGTCCACTCATCAGCTGATCGACATCTTGGTTGTTTACACATTTTGGCTGTTATGAATAATGTTGCTATAAACATTCATGTACAAGTTTTTGTGTGGACATGTTTTCTGTTCTCTTGGGTATACATCTAGGAGTAGAATTGTTAGGTCATATGGTAAGTCTGGGGCCCTGGTGGCTCAGTGGTTAAGTGTTTGGCTGCTAACCAAAAGGTTGGCAGTTTGAATCCACCATCCACTCCTTGGAAACCCTGTGGAGCAGTTCTTCTCTGTCCTATAGGATCGTTATGAGTAGGAATTGACTCAGTGGCAATGGGTTTTTTCATCAAATTTATGGTAACTGTATGTTGAACTGTTTAAGTTGCTGCCAGATGGTTTTCCAACGTGGTTGTACCATTTTACATTCCCACCAGCAGTATATGGAGGTTCTGATTTCTCTACATTTTCAACAACACCTGCTATTATCTGTTTTTTTATAACCATCCTAGTGTAATATTGGTGTAAAGATAGGCATATAGATCAGTGGAACAGAAGAGTCCAGAAATAAACCATTACATATATGATCAATTGATATTTTTACAACAGTACAAAGATAATGGTATTCTTTTCAATACATGGTGCTCAGACAGTTTGTTGTTGTTGGCTGCGGTTGAGTCAGCCCCTGTGTCTTGGCAACCTTGTACATAATAGAACTGCCTGGTCCTGTGCCATCCTCATGATAGGTTGCAGATAGTACCGTTATAATCCATAGGGTTTTCATTGGCTGATTTTCAGCTGTAGATTGCCAGGCCTTTCTTCCTTGTCTTACTCTGGAAGCTCCACTGAACCCTTCAGCATCATAACAACGCACAAAACTCCACTGACAGCTAGGTCGTGGCTGCGCATGAGGTGCAATGGCCAGGAATCAAACCTGAGTCTCCTGCATGGAAGGTGAGGATTCTGTCACTGAACCACCAGTGCCTCATGCTTGGACAATTGGATATCTAGTATATGAAAGCATAAACTAAGGTCTCTACCTCACCCCATACACACCATCAAAAATTAATTCAAAATGACCATAAACCTAAATCCAAGTGGAAAACTATAAAACTTCTAGAAGGAAACATAGGAGAAAAATGTTCATAATCTTGGGTTGGGCAAAGAGTTCTTAGATATAGTTCTGAAAGCATGATTCATAAAAGAAAAAAATTAATAAATTGAACTTCATCAAAATTAAAAACTTTTTTACTTTAAAAGGTATTAAGAAAAGGGAAAGAAGTCACAGACTGAGAGAAAATATTTGCAAATCATATTGCAAGTCCTATTAAAGGACTTGTATTTAGGAAATAGAAAGAACTCTTACAGCTGAATAATAAGATAGACAACCCAATTTAAAAATGGGCAAAAGATTTGAATAGACATTTTGCCAAAGAAGAAATACAATGGCTAATAGTATTAATGAAAAGATGCTCAACTTCATTAGGGAAATGAGATACCACTACACATGTACCTGAATGGTATATTAAAAACAGACTGACAATACCAAGTTGTTGGTTAGGATGTGAAGAAACTGGAACTCTCATGAATTGCTGGTGGGAATGTAAACTGGTAACACCACTATGGAAAATAGTTAGACAGTTTCTTTCAAAGCTAAACCTGAACTTAACCATACAATCCAGCAATTCCAGTCTTAGGAATGTGCTCAAGGGAAATGAAAACTATGTCTACATGAGTGATCACAGCTATATTATTTATAGTAGCCAAAAACTGAAAACAACCCAAATATCCATTAACTGATAAATGGGTAAATAAAATGTGGTATATCCATAAATGGAAAACTGTTCAGCAATAAAAAGGGTTAAATTGCAGATACATGCAATATCATGAATTAACCGCAAAAACATTAAGTGAAGGAAGCCAGATGCAAAAGACGTCATATTAATATGAAATGCTTAGAAAAGGCAAATTTAGAGAGACTGAAAGTGGATCAGTGGTTGCCTAAGGCTAGGGGTGGGGAGTAACTGTAAATAATTACTCTTATTGGGGTGATGGAATTGTGATGGATTGTGATGATGGTTGCACAGCTCTGTAAGTGTAATACATTTATTGAATTGCACGCTTACAATGGGAGAATTTTATGAGGTAAATTATACCTCATATCAGTTTTATCTGTTTTTTAAAAATGGGAGATGATACCTATCTCTTAGGGGATCTTGTGAGATTTTGTAGCACAAGTGTCAGGTATAAAGTAGGCATTCAATAGGTGCCAATTAATTGTTGTTATTACTATTGATATATAACAGCAATATCTACTGTTAGACTACTGGGATACTTACTTCTATTGTAAAAAATAGAGACCAAGTTATAAGATACCCACTAAAGCCTAGTGTTGTATGGTATCATTTACTGACTTCTCATTCATTGCAGGGTGGAGTAGGGGAGTCATCTTTTGAAATTGTGAGATGATAGCAAAGATTGACAACCTTTTTTATATTTTTAATCTTTCCTCTTTAGGGGGAGTAAAACTTGGACTGGGAGATTTCATTTTCTATAGTGTTCTGGTTGGTAAAGCCTCAGCAACAGCGAGTGGAGACTGGAACACAACCATAGCTTGTTTTGTAGCCATATTAATTGTGAGTATACACGAATAAAAATGTGTCAGAATCCTAATCTCAAAACTCTGATTACTCTGTCCCTTTAAGGCAGTTCTGTTTTAGCCCCAGGTGAGCTGGGTGTTCCAGTCACCTGGGGGAGCTTTTTAACAACTCAGATAATTGGACTTTACTTGACTAGCTTTCCACTCTGGCCTTGCATTAGAATCACCTGGGCACTTATAAAACTATGAGCCCCGCCCCAGTGTATTCTTATTTATGTTTCCATTGTGTATTTTTAAAAAGTTCCCCAGGAAATTCTGGTAAGTACTTCTGATTAGGAACTACTGGGTCAAGCCCAACAGTCAAGCCCAACAGCCTAGATTCGTATGAAAACAGCTCTGCTAGAGAGCAGTCTTAGGGGTAAACACATCTTCTCTTAGGCCCTGGTCTTAGTTACTGAGGGTTTGGTTGTTGTTTTATGTTTAATGACACAACCTGTAGCATCCAGTGTTACTTTGAACAGCAAGTTATAGGTGAGAAAGGCTAACGCAATGCATGATCCTATAGAGATCTTCCTTATAGTGCCACAGCATGAACCCTGAGGCTTTCAAAACCATGATTGAAGTCAGTAATTCATAAAATATTTCTCATTGCTATTTTTACTAAAAATGTAATTATCTTTAACATATGTGACATATAGCATGTGAGTAAAGTTAGATGAGTGATGGAAGAGCTTCAATTATGCATTTATTTTATAGTTACATTTGTAATTTGTCATGCTATATAGCCAACTGGAATTTTCATGTATTTTATTTCCCTTTTGAGGTTAGCTTTCTGGATATGAAATTATTTATTGGTCTTGTATCTTTTAAGAAGAAAATTACTTCTTGATAAACTGAAGTAGGCTCAGTCCCCAGACTTTGTAGTCAGTGTCTCAGTAACTAGGGTAAAAAGTAAACTATACAACAGAGGCTCAGTGTTTACAAGAAAGCAGTATACTCTTCATAAACAAACCTTTGGTATCAGTTTGTTCTATGAGCATGTCTTTGTTAGACCCCACACAGCCTAAAGAATGCTCTTCCCTCTGGGATTTCAGTTAGCCAAACTGAAACCACAGAGGCCAACTAAATATTTTTAGATAGAAATTACTGTTTTTTTTCCAAAAATATTTTTACTTATTTTCAGACTCTATTCCTTGCCTACAATTAGGGGGTGAAATATTAACAATGTATATGCATAGTGAACTCTGTTGCACAGGAAAATAAACGGTGTTTCCCTTGTATTGGGAAGCTACGTTTGTTTTTAATGGCTCTCGTTACAGATTTAATGAAAGTATTTGTTCTGAAATTTATCCCAAAAGGGTGGTATTCAGTTAAAACCAAGGGTTGTGATTAACTTTGCACATACACTACTTCCACAGTTACATGTGCGTTTGTGTCTTTTCCCCTCTTCTCCACAGGGTTTGTGCCTTACATTATTGCTCCTCGCCATTTTCAAGAAAGCATTGCCGGCGCTTCCAATCTCTATCACCTTTGGGCTTGTTTTCTACTTTGCCACAGATTATCTTGTGCAGCCCTTTATGGACCAATTAGCATTCCATCAATTTTATATTTAGCATAGTTACAATTGGAATCTCATGGATTTTTCTCGTTTTGACTATAATAAAATCTGGGGAGGACGAAGGTGATTCTCCTGTGTCCACATCTAACAAACTCAAGATTCCCAGCTGGACTTTTTACAGCTTCCTTCCAAGTTTTCCTGGCCACCTGCAGTATTGGGCACTGAAAGGCAGGTGTCTACAGAAAATGGTTTTGAACATACTTCATCGTGGTAGACTGAGTCCCTCGGTGCAGAAACTGCCAGATCTGAGGGACAGAAACAAGGGAAGATGATGGGCCAAGAAGTTGCTGTGCTCCTACCAGCAGTTTAACCCTTGGTCACAGGTAGATTTTACCAACACTATGGACTCTCAGGACTACCATCACCAAGAGGTTACATGAAGTGGTTTAAACCAAACAGGACTCTTCATCTTAAACTACATCTTGAAAATCAGCCCAGTAATCCTGTATTAGTTGAATTCTGGACCTTTTCAGGAGCTACAGTGAGGAGAGCAGGCACCAGAGCAAAATGGAAAGATGGAAAGGGGTTCAAACTCTCGTTTTCAGTTTTTGCTATAGACTTGTCATTTTCAAATAAGATTTTTGTTCTTCCTTGAGTTACAACAGATGTGTAGGTTGATTTTGACAATTTATGTTCTCAAGCACTGAAACTCCATTGCCATCTATGGTTGCCATTTTTCCCAAAGCTTATTTGAGGTTGATTTATCCTCTGAGTCTCAACCTCAGGTTCCAAATTCAGTAATTTCTGGAAATAATCATCCTTAGGTAAATTCTAGATTTTCCACCAAGTTCCTCATTTTTAGACATGCTTGTAAGTTCATTTGACTCCAGATGTCGCCTCTGTTCCCCATCACTCCTTCACTCCCACCCACAAGCATTTCTCTTATACGGCGAATAAGACAGCTCTGTTGTAGCAGATGACCCAGTTATTCCATGATTTTACTCTGTGTGTGATGCAAAGAATGTGTTATGAATCAGTGCTGTCAGCCTTGCTGTCATAATTTCTCCAATAGCAAATAAGATGTGTGCCCAAAGACAGTAGAATTAAAGAAGAGTAAAATGGCTGGTGAAGCACTTTCTGTCCTGGCTCTTCTTTTTTAACTATAACCATTGTCTCTGACAGTAGGTCAGAATTAGAACTAATAGCCAAAAGCTGGTGGTTTATAAAGTTTATGAATCAGTCGTACCAGTACCAGTCGAACCAGTACAAAGCAAGAGTTTGGAGAAGCCATTATTTCCCTTGGCAAGCTGTGGGAGAACCTGGGGCCAGGAGGAGAAGCAGCAGCCAAAAGAAGGAAGAAGAGTCCTCCAGAGCCCCACAATGGGTGTTTTGTGGTTTCTCATGTACATTACCCTTTGTCTCAATGTACCTTTGTGTGAGATGGCACAGTGGAGGTACAGGCTGAAGTTACAGTGGAGTTCAGGCTCTGTACTGTTAGACAAAGCACAGAAACAGAGCTGTCGGCCTGTGTGCACATGACACTTCTCAGTGAAGCCTGCCGGGGTGCAACCCTGCTTTTACTGCAGAGAACCCTTAGCTGTGGTGGTCAGACTGTTAGCTTCCTTCTGTGGCTGAAGAAAGGCCAGGTTCTCCTTCTTTTGCCTGCTGCTTTTTCTTCCTGCCCATCATATGACCAAGTTTGGAGTATCTCCTTGGAGCTTGGAATATTTGTTTTCTGTCGTGAGATATTTCTGATAAGAAACTAAATTTAGAAGTTGTGTGCTGGTACTAACCTACTAACCTAAGTATAAGTAAAAACTCCCTCATATTAGGCAGTTGGGAACTGCAGGAAAAATAAGAGCTATGCAAAGAAAGAATGGGGCTTAGGGTGGTTGCTAGGTTCTCATCTCAATTTATTTATTAATTTTTATTAGCCCCTTTTCTCTAAGATTCTCTTCTCTTGCATACGTGGCAGCATGGCCATTATCCCCTAGAAAACGTACGTGGTTGAAACACTACAACAAAGCCACCTGAACACCAATTTGTGATTCCAAGAATTCTTGAGGGAGCCCTGATCTAGAATAGTTTATTTGTGCAAGGGTCCCCAATGTGTTATATCCTTCATGTGTGGGGTGTGTGAGATAGAGTATTTAAATTCAGTCTATCTACTATATGTTTTATGTGGAAAGATTGCAATAAATCTGTCACTTTCTGCCAATGAAGAGGACTTGAAGCACTTACTGATGAAGATCATCATACAGCCATCAGGATGAATTACACTTCAACATAAAGAAATACAAAAATCCCCCCAACTAGACCAATAAGCAACATCATGATAAACGAGGGAAAGATTCAAGTTGTCAAGGATTTCATTTTATTTGGATCCACAATCAACACCCATGGAAGCAGCGGTCAAGAAACTAGATGATGTGTATTGCATTGGGCAAATCTGCTGCAAAAGACCTCTTTAAAGTGTTAAGAAGCAAAGATGTCACTCTGACTGAAGTGTGCCTGACCCAAGCCATCATGTTTTCAGTCGCCTTGTATGCATGTGAAAGCTGGACAATGAATAAGGAAGACCGAAGAAGAACTGATGCCTTTGAATTATGGTGTTGGCAAAGAATACTGAATATATCATGGATTGCCAGAAGAACAAACAAATCTGTCTTGGAAGAAGTACATCCAGAATGCTCCTTAGAAGCAAGGATGACGAGACTTAGTCTCATATACTTTGGACATGCTATCAGGAGGGACCAGTCCCTGGAGAAGGACATCATGCTTGATGAAGTATAGAGGGTTAGTGAAAAAGAGGAAGACCCTCAAGGATATGACACATTGGCTGCAACAGTGGGTTCAAACATAGCAAGGATTGTGAGGATGGCACAGGACTGGGCAGTGTTTCGTTCTGTTGTATGTAGGGTTGCTGTGAGTCGGAACCGACTCAGTGGCACCTATCAACAACAATGAGCCACATCTCAGCCACATTTAAAACCACAGAGAGAGAACCCATTTAATGTCTAAATCACTGATCACAGCCACAGAACTTTAACATCAGACATTCTTTTTAGAATTAGTTCGGTAGTTCCTGAATTATCAAAATGCTAGCCTTCCACCGTGAAAAATAGATTGTCACCAGAGAAAACAGTAGCAGTTCCACAGAGGATGTGTCCTTATACGTAGGCAGAGGAGCTGCCTGGGAGCCGGGCCGACCAATGATAAAGCATGAGCAGCCGAGCTAACCTGCTTAATGAAACAAAAGACGACAGTAGGAAGGGAAGTGGCCACCGAGTGTCCCGATTTGACTGGCTTACAGAATAAAGAGTATTTTTATACAGAATGTGGCTACCAGCTAGCCTGTGGAAATACTATATTTGAAGGATTTGTAGAGTTTTTTCAGAGAAGAAGTAGTCCCTTTCCTGTTTTTGAGTCTCACTAGGTTAGTGTGTGATTCAGGGTCACAGCTCTCACTGTAAATGACTACGTTTCTCAATCAGGAAGAAATGGAGAGAGGGAAGCTTTCTAAGCAACTTGGAAGAAAACAGTCATAAGTAGCAGTTGATTGATGTCACTACAGAAGCAACAAAACAACTAAAGATGGATGTTTTTACTTTCAATTCTCGGATCTCCATTTTTTAAAGTGTCCTGATCTTAAGGATCCCTCTTTTGTAGTAGATACCGATAAAAAAATAATATGTTTACTGCTTGGCCTTTACTTGGCCTCAGCAACTTGCCACGTGCAATCTTGATCATAATTTGCAGAATGTGAAGCAGAAGTTAAGCAACCAAATGAGGTCTTACAGGATCCTTTAGCAGTCATCAAAAGGAGGCCTCTGATCCCTGACTCCCAGTGCTGAGCTTTGCATATTAGACCATTCCTGATCTAACCCTGGAAGGAAAGGAGCTCGGAACCCACTAGTGTTGTAGGGTAAAACCATCACAAAGTCTAGTGAAGCAAAAAGAAAGCTTTATTCGACATATATTCAAAAGGACAAAAATGGGAAGCGGACAAGCATGCTGCCAGAGCTAGAATGTCTGCCTGAATCCAAGGAAATAGAACAGACAAATGTGGAAAAATGGAGAAGCATGCTGCTAGAGCCATGTCTGCCCTAGTTCAAAGAATATTACAGAGTAGGCAAGAATGGGAAAACGGACAAGCATGCTGCCACAGCCATGTCTGCCCGAGTCCAAAAACCATTACAGAGTCATCAGTATATATTAACATTACAAATGGGCAAAACCACTGGAAGCTTAGCTTTTCACAGATTGGCTAGAAACTGTGATCCTACATTTTGAATAGTCTTTCTTAACAGTCATTGGTACAGGTTCCAGTAATGACAGGAAGGTCATCATTGGTCCAACAAATTTCTATTCACTAAATGCTCATAGAAAAAGATAAAGAGTAAAAGTCTTTTGTGTTCTGTTTGTATTTATGTGAAAGTTTCCCTAAAAGATATTTTCCAAGAGTATCTTAGCTATTGTCTTTATACTTCAGGGCCCAGTTGATGCGTCCTGGTGAGTCCTTGTGAGCCCAGCTCCAGCTGGGTCACATTCTCTCTGCTCAAGGAGAGGGAATAAATGATTCTAATATTATTTCCTAAATCACTAGGAAAAGATTAGTGTCTTGTATGTTCTTGGCATGGTGCTGGCATGGAATCTAAGGATACAAAGATGAGTAAGATACATCCTCGGAGTACAGCTGTAATCTCTTTATTTTCTGGCATATCACATTTTTAACTTCTCTGAAATGTTGGGTCCCTGTCAGTTACCACTTTTCACCATTATTGAAGGCTCCACTGCCATGGCACAGTCTGTTCTGACAACTGCAGCATCTGTAGGCATTGTGAATAGTTTCATTCCACAGAGGAGGTGGTGGACTTAGAAAACTGATGTTAAAAGGTGACTTGATTCTTTGAGAACCAGTCCTCTGGTAAAGTACTCCTTTTTCTCAGTCATTTTTTGCTAAATCTCAGAATCATCTGGATGTCATCATCTGAATAGTTTTTTTATCTGGTAGGAAACGCCTCTGCAAGATCAAGATTGCAGTTTAGGCGGCCACAAGCAAACATAGCCTAGTTGGGCACTTTAAACCTCAGATTTATGTATTAAAAAGCAGCCTGGTGCTGAAATGAACCCCTCCTCAGATGTCAAAGCCGTTTCCCAGGTGCCTCAGCAGCAGTGTACTTCTAGCTGGATGTGGCAACATTGCCACTAGAGAGGAGCTGGACCCACCCTGGACCCTGGAATGTGTTGCTAGCACTTCTGGTTGGTCTGTGTAGTAGGAAAAGCTTCCCAGAAAGCAATTTTCCTTTTGAAATAATTGTTGAAACTAGGCAACTTCAAAATCAGCTGTTTAGCGAGTACAGGGTTGTCTTGGTTTATGGTGCAATTGGAGGTGCTAGAATGGGGCCTTCAGTGGGATCATTCACTCGTGTTCATTGTCTTCTACAGACACTGCTTTGTACATAATTCAGACTGCGAATACACCTTTTTTTAAATACCTTTCAAACTCTCGGTAAGATATAATTTTGATAGATGATTGCAGATTTTCCTGTACTTTTCAAATTAATAAAGACTGCATGAATCCAGCTGTGCTAGTTTTCTTACATAAAAGTATTAAAATGTGTAACTCTGAGAACTGCTCAGAAATTATCAGAGAAAGTTTAGAAACACAAATGCATTTCTGTCCTTCGCTTAGAATAAAATGGTGTGAGTTACAGCAGGCCATGCCTCTGAAGGGTGCAATATTAAATCTGTTTATAAAAAACCTCAAAACAACGATCCTTAATACTTAGTTTCTGAGAAATATTTTTTCTAGAAACTTTAACTCATATTAATGTAAAGACTCAAAACAAGTTATAAACTTAGAGGACGTGTATGTTACAGTAACGCAGATACTTCATGTGCTAGAGGATTACCTTAAAATATGATGTAGGTCACACTAATGGAAAAAAGCAACACTACTTTTAGTGACCTGGTAGGGCATAGAATCTCTTAATCACTCTACTCCCAAACTTTGACAAACTTTGTTTCTATGTTGGGAAGGATTGGTCAGGTACAAGTTTGTGGGGGGGAAAAACCAGAGTTGGCCATTGTCTTCAGAAGGGGCAGATAGGAAAAGGATGAGTTCCTGGCCACACTGACTAAGGGGGAGCAGCGGGAGGTGTTCATCCCCTCCTTTGGGATTTGGAAGCATTGTTATTTCATGAATCTTGCAGGCAGTATCACTATAGTCTGCCACAAAAGCATCTTGATTTGCCCACATCAACTGGGAGAGGTTTCTGATTTTCAGGGCCTGGACAATTGTGCTCTTGAGAATGAGGAACGTGCTTGAGAAGCAGGAGGAGTAAGGCTGGATTTCCTGCATCACTGAGTAAGTACAGTTTTCTGTCAGCCCAGCTCACCACTCTGCTGTAGACTCGTCTGTGCACTGTGTGGGGGGACAGAGAGAGACCCTGTCCGCCAGTAGCTTAGGATGTGGTTAAAAGTGAAATGACAAACATACGTCAGTACAAGCAAGTACTATGTTGGCTTAACATCAGTAGAATGGAAATGGCAAAGTAAAGGAAGATCCGTGAAAAATAAGGAGAAGGGGGAGGGAGTTAAGATTAAAGTTTTCTCCAGAAACAAAGTGCTGAACTGAGTCTTAAAAGAAGGGAAGAACCTGAATTGACTAGAAGGCAAAGAATACACACAAAAGGAAAATCAGAAAGGAAGAAGTGCGTGGGAGACCCCAAAGTCATTGGGTTTTGAATAAATGTTGGTGGCTT